AGGAAAGGTACATTGAGCTACAATTTCCCATTTTCCCTATGTATGGTGACTTCAGGGGCAACTTCTTGGACAGTCTGCACTGTAACAACTCCTCATACCAATAGAAACAACACATGATGCTTATAACACATGAGTCTTCAGGATACCACCGTCAATGACAAACTTGTGAAACTTGACTTTCCTATTGCATCATGATATAAAGAAGGTGTTATTGAGGACTATCTTGGCTATCTCGCCAACATTTTTTTCCTACCATACAAAAGATAAGATATTTTGGGCAGCACCTGTGGCTCAAAGGAGTAGGGCGCCAGCCCCATATGCCAGAGGTAGTGGGTTCAAACCCAGCCCTGGCCAAAAACTGCAAAAAAAAGAAAAAAAGAAAAAAGAAAAAAAGATAAGATATTTTAAAAAGAGAAATGTCAAACAAGGGCCTATTAGCAGGCAATGGCAGAAGGGGGAAGAACAGCACCAGGAGATGAGAGCGAGCACCTGGAGGGTGCCAGGTGACCAAGGAATATATCAAAGACTTTGAGAAAAGAAGGAAACAGGATGAAGTCCTGCTGGAGATGCAGGACTTCAGTGCACAGCATTTACCTATATAATATTATAATGGCATATAATTTTTTAAATTAATTTTTAATTATACATACAACATATACCCATAATCTTTTTTTGAAAAAAGAAACAATCACAGATGAAACTGAACCTGTATCATTCTCAATACTGGTCTCCTCCACACTCCCCACAGGAAACTATCATAGTTTGGTGCATATCCTACAGACCTTTTCTAGGGATTTACATACACGGAAATGTACACATAACGTATTTTGTGATTTTAGCAATAATACAAATAATACTATGTATAATGTTCTATAATTTTCCTTGTTAGCACATATAATTCATTATTTAAAGTTGTTGCACAGTATTACATCTCAGTGGATAGCACCAAATTAGTTTCTAGAGTATTGGAGGAACTGTTTTTGCACACCTGTCAAGACACAATACTGTCAGATTTTATGATTTTTGCCACCCCGATGAGAGAAAAATGATATCTTGTTCTGATTTGCATTTCTCCAATTACTAGGTGGGTTGTGCATCTTTTTATGTTTTATTATCCATTTATGTTTCCTTTTTGGTGTATTGTATACTTTCTACATCACTTTGGATTTAAGCTGATGAAGACAACTCAACCACCACCCTTCTTTTGACAGATACAAGCACTCAGCCAAATTGTAGTTCATCACACATACTGTTAATTACAGAAAAGGTATTCATCTCTGGCTTTTGTAGGGGAAATAGAAAGGTTCAAAAACTCCTTTCCTACAGGTAGGATCAACTTTTAAAGGATCCAACTCTGCTTTCTTTGTTGATGAAGTTCTTCAAGAGATCACAGTCCATTTCTGCAAAGCCTGACGTCTGTGTTACTATTGTCAGATGATTTTTGCAAAACCTGAAGTACCATAGAATTCTTCTAAATCCTGGGCGTCATGTTTCACGGCAGCGGAGAGCAGAGTGATTACATTCTCCTCACAGATCCCTTGCTTGATCGTTTACTGGCAGAGCTATTTCAAATGATTTTCTCATAAAATGGAGCCAAGTCCAACAATCCTATGGCCTCCTCAGGAGAAAGGTTGATGCTGTCTGTGTACAGGTATTCCAGAAAGGCTTGGTAAACAGGATATGAAAATTCACTCACTTCTACAATATCATCCTCCTTATCTTCCAGTGAAGAATGAAAATGTTCGCATCTAATTTTGAGAAGGACTTTATGTGCATAAATATAGTTTCCATCAACCAGAAATGTCAGGTCTACAGTGTCCGGGTTGTCAAATTCCCTCTTCAGTGACTCAGCCACAGTGAGGTGGTCATCGGGTTCCACGGAGAAGATGCACCACGTGACCGCAGGAGTGGCAAAGCAGGTGAACACACCATCAGTGCAGGAGAAGTTAGTGAGGTAAGGGAGGACCACTGACTGGCCCTGGCACTGGGCCCCACATATACACATGCCCACCCTGGGTCTTGGCAGCAGATGTGTGGGCAGAACGACAGGCTGCGATCTCTATAATCCTGTCCTTTTCCACAGCGATAGGGGTTGGATAGGACTGGTTGCTTTTATTGCCAGTACCCAGTTGGCCATTAGAATTGGTGCCCCAAGCATACACTTGACCTTGACCTTCATCTGTTAATACTAATGTATGCGTGTAGCCAAAGGCAACCCTCTGGACATGGATGCCTTGCAATGCTGCTATTCTGCAGGGGGTTGGCGGTTGCCACTACTGCCAAGGCCAAGCTGCCCATTTCCATTATAACCCCAGACAAATACCTCCCCAGTGTCTGCTACTACCATGGAGCACATTTGCCCAGATGCTATGGTCACTGTGACTTTATTCTGTAAGCAGCCAGTGACTCGTGGAGGATTGGCTGATTAGCTGTTGATCAAGATCCCACCTGTCCAGAGTTATATAACCCCAGGCAAATACCTCTCCATCAGATGTTAGCACCAAAGAATGGTAAGACCCACAGGCAATGACTTGTTTGTTTGACAAATTAGTAGAGCTATGACAGGGTACTAAACCATGATTAGCTGTCTCATTGCCCAGCTGCCTATAAGCATTATGACCCCAGGTAAAGACCTCCTTCTGTTGTTGCAAGGACAACATGTGGGCCATTCCCATAGCTGAGGCAGGCTATCTTTTTGTCACTTAAAGAATCCAATTTCCGAGGTTCAATGGCGCTCTGGATGTCACCTAACCCCAAACAGCCACAGCAGTTTGTGCCAAGCATAAAAATCTCATCATTTACTGTAGTATATAAAACTTCATTGCCAGCACTGCCAAAGACACAAGCCTGACGGATTAACTGCAGTTCTTCCTCAGAACAAAGGGAAAAAATTGGTCACTTGCCCACATCTAACATCTTCAAAGATGACAGAGTAGCCTGTATTGGCTGATTGTTTTAAATTTCTGCAGCCAAGTATTTGGTCATCTTTAATCCTGTTCCTTTTAGATCCTTGTAAAGTTGTCTTCTAGTACAAAGTTTATGTCACTCAGTGCCTCCCTGAGCCGCATCTGCTCCGCCTCCTGGCTCAGAGTTGGCACCTCCCCGTGAAGTGCCTGGCCCAGAGGGGAAGGAAGGGGAGTGCAGGCGAGAGGAGGGGATTGGCAACAGCGCCTCGCCTGGATCCTCATTTTATACAGAGTAAAATATACCTTATTATTCATTTATTATTATTATTATTGGGTGTTTTTTAGACAGAGTCTCACTTTGTCACCCTCAGCAGAGTGCCATGGTGTCATAGCTCACAGCAACCTCAAACTCTTGGGGTCAAGTGATCCTCTTGCCTCAGCCAACCAAGCAGCTGGGACTACAGGCGCCCACTGCAACACCCAACTAGTTTTTCTATTGTTATTAGAGACAGGGTCTTCCTCTTGCTCAGGCTGATCTCAAACTCCTGAGCTCTAGCAATCCACCTGCCTGGGTCTCCCAGAGTGCTAGGATTATAGGTGTGAACCACCACACCTGGCACATTATGTAATGTTTTCTTGTTGGCCACTGAGGAGTCTGCCTTCTTCCCAGCCATATCTGTCACTGCTTTTGTAACGCACTCCTTTAGGTACAGCTGGGCCCGCCTGACCATGCCAGGTGCTTCTCCACATCCATGCTTTTATTTATGCCATTTGCCACCTGAGTGTTCACTCTATATTACTGAAATCTTATGCAAACCCCAGTAATAATTTGTTTTCATTCTTCAAGACTCCCTTCTGCTCTCCAAAAAAGACAAATTAATGAAAGATGTTGAGAGAGGAGGCCAATTAAACAAGTAGGCACAGCTCTGTGTTCTCTGTGCCATTGCCCAGATCCAATGTGCCATCTGCCATAAGAAGCTCAGGAGGGGTGCACAGCACTGCTTAGGAGAGCAGGTGAAAGCCCTCGCAGAGCAGGGCTTCCTTTTATCCCCCCCTTATTTTATAAAAGGTGACTATCCCCCCAAATAACTAGAACTGATCGCCAGGAGTAAAATGATTTCTCATTATTTGGGGTTGTCTAGGGTACAAGCTTTCCCATTTAGGCAAGTCTGGGCCAGTTCTTGGCACTACTTCTCTCTGCCTCCAAGTTTTTACATCTGTATGTTCATAGGGCTTTGGCATGGCAGAGAAAATGAATCGAAAAGCAAATTCTTTTGTAAGACAGCAAGCATGTACTTCTTATAAAAGAGAATGTACGGTGAACGGAATTGTTTTGGGGGGGGTTCTTTGTCTTCCCTAAACAGCTTGGAGTCTGCCTTAAACCCAGAGAGGCATCTCTCCCCAGGCCCGCTAAGTGCTGAAAGCAGCACCACATGCAACGTGTCCACTCTCCTTCCATTTCTGGAGGAGCTGATGCAATTCCAAGGCGCGGGGCTGAGCCAGAGCTTCGTTCCTGTGCCACGGATTTAATAATGTTCCAGCGTGGCTGCCGCTTCAGCTCCTGGTAGTCCTAGAAATCTTGCCATCTGCAGCTCGGTTCAGGAATACTGAGCTTGCAGCCATCAGCTCTGACAGTCATTATTTGAATGCGCCCTGTATACCAGTGTCAGAGCTTGCACCTCTCAGCGAGGACCCGGCTGACAGGCTACTACCTCTTCCAGAGCCGGTCTCCCTTCTATACACTTCATCTCTTGACCAGGGATCTCACGATTGAAACGAAAAAGGAAAGGAAGCAGACTCCGCTGTCTTCACCAAGTGTCTGCTCCCACCTTGTCATCCCAGCCAGACCTGACATTTTCAAAAATTGCATCTTCAGCCCCTTCCCCGTAGAAAACAATGGCAAGCTTTACAATTCCCCTCCAGGACCCCCGCCCCCCGGCCCTTATCTGAGGATCTTAAACACATCCTCTTGGCCCTTTAGCAAAGTCTAGGCATTGCTGCCCACCCCCAGTCCCACCGTCCTGGCCCTCCCGCCCCGGAATCTGGAAAGCAGGACAGGGTGAGAGCCAGGACGCTCGCCCGGGCAGGACTCACCCGGCCGGTGGAGAAGCTCCGGAGCGCCTGGCTGCCACGCCGCAGCATGCTGGAAAGGAGCGCTGGCGCGGGAGGCACGGCGGAGCGGGAAGCAGGCGGGCGGAGCAGCCTGGGCGCGGCCTGCAGCCAGGATGCCCGGGACTGCCCGGCTCGCGGCTCTCTGCCTCCGCTAGCCGGGAGCCCAGCCCCCGGCCCCGCCCCGCCCCCTCAGCTGGCAAAGCCCCGCCTCCTCGGCTGGATGCGCCCCTCTCCCGCGGCTCGCGGAGCACTAGCCACCAATCCCGCGCTACCAGGCGTGGGGACACGGCTTTGGTGCTAAGCTCACTCCCGGCCCCAGTGACAGCGGATAGCGGCTGCCTGAACTCCCTCGGTTCGGGTAGTGGTCCAGCTGCTTACAGGCTGTGTGTTGTACCAGTTACTCAGACTTTCTGAGATACATAGGGATCTCCCGGCAGATACCGGCAGATAACAGATATGTGCCTTTCTACCTCATCTTTCGGGAAGAAACGCTGACTCTCTTTAGCTGAGCACTTGACTTAAAACGAACGCCTTAGTCTGGCTTTCAAGGCCGTCTACAATTTGGCATTTACTCTTATCGCTCACTGCTCTTTTGCACGTGTAATTCTGCGGACTTCTTCCCAGACAATAACTCTTCCCAGAAGAGCTGGTCACTTGTCACACTCTTGACCTGACCCTTCTTCTTTTCTTAAAAGTAGAGCTTAAATGCTGCCTCACAGAAGCACTTTTTCTGATTCCTCCATTAACGTCTTTATTCCTTTCAAGTAATCTTTCCCTCCTCTGAACTGGGAAGCATTTTTGTCCACACAGTTCTTACGAATGTTTCAATTTGTTACTGGTATTTGTGTGGCTCTTTGTTATCTTCTCTATTGGAAGCTCCTCGTTGGCTGAGTTTATGTCTGACGCAGCAGGACTTATAGTTCAGATAAGCAGAGCTTTTAAAAATAACTTGACAAATCCCATGACTTTGGGAGGCCAAGGTGGGAGGATCACTTGAGCTCAGCAGTTGGAGGCTGCAGTGATCTCACCACTACACTCTAGCCTAGTCAACAGAGCAAGACTCTGTCTCAAACAAACAAAACTTGTTGAAAGAGAATAAAGGAATGAATGTATTTAAGAGAGTAACAAAGGCCAGGCAGTGGCTCACGCCTGTAATCCTAGCACTCTGAGGGGCTGAAGATGGTGGATTGCCTGAGCTCAGGAGTTGGAGACCAGCCTGAGCAAGAGCAAGAGCCCATCTCTAAAAATAGCCAGGCATTGTGGCAGGCCCTGTAGTCTAAGCTACCTGGGAGGCGGAGGCAAGAGGATCACTTGAGCCCAAAAGTTTGAGGTTGCTGTGAGCTATGATGCCACCACACTCTACCAAGGGCGTCAAATTGAGACTCTGTCTCAAAAGAAAGAAAGAAAGAAAGAAAGAAAGAAAGAAAGAAAGAAAGAAAGAAAGAAAGAAAGAAAGAAAGAAAGCTAGCTAGCTCGGTGAATTGCAAGAACCATCCAGGGGGTTTTGCTTTGGGAACTATCTCTTGGCAGTTTAACCCATGCCCCTGACTGCATTTTGTGACTTCTTGCTTCTTTGAAACTGCCAAATATATATGTTTTTTTGTTTTTTGTTTTTTGTTTTTTTTGGCCAGGGCTGGGTTTGAACCCACCACCTCTGGCATATGGGACCAGTGCCCTTCTTCTTTGAGCCACAGGCACTGCCCGAAACTGCCAAATATTGATATTCACTTTATTTGTTCTGATCTGTGTGTCCTTGGGGAAGAGTGGGCAAGGAGTGTGGTTTTCCTTTTTCCTTTTTTGAATCTTTTGGCAGCTGTGGAGGGGGGGGGTGTTTGCTTCAGACTGTACTGCCCTGAACTCTTTTTTCCCCACTATGGTTCCATAGTTACACATTTCCACTACCAAGTTTAGAAAATGTAGAGCAGATGTTCACCTAGAGATAATAAACTATTCATGATGTCTAAGTTTTTTTTTTTTCTGGAAGAACCAAAAATGTAGTTCCCTTGATAATCAGAAGTTAGATCAGATGCAATAAGAGAGTCTGACAAACAAAAAAAACTGCATCTAGATTTCTATACTCAGCAAAAATAGTGCTTAATAATGGAGATAAAACAAAGTCATTTTTAGAAACAAAAACTTACATGATTAGTAGACATACAATACAGGGAATATGAAAGAGTATACTTCCAGCAGAAGAAAAATTACCCATGTGGAATGCAGGAAGAGCAATAAAAAAGGTAAAGTTGAGGAAATTAAAATGAAGATTGAGTGCATGAACAATAATGGCATAATAGTATATTATTATGTACTGGTATATATATTACTATTACTGGTATAGTATAATAATATATACTATATAGAATATATACTACTACATATAATATAATAGTATATATTATAATATTATACTGCATGAACAATAATGGCATAATAGTATATTATTATAATCAAGGAATATAATAATATAATTTCCATATGTATATGTGAAAATATACAAGTATAGGAACAACAACAAAAAGTTGTTGGATTAAATGTAAATACTGAGAGGAATGAAATGTTCCTTAAGCAGAAAGAATATAATCCCGGATAGGCGGCTCTCGTAGCTCAGTGGGTAGGGCTCCAGACACATACACCCAGGTTGGGGTTCAAATCCAGCACAGGCCAGCTAAAACAACGATGATAACTATAACAAAAAAATAGCTGGGGGTTGTGGTGGGTGCCTGTAGTCCCAGCTACTTGGGAGGCTGAGGCAAGAGAATGGCTTAAGCCCAAGAGTTTGAGGTTGCTGGGAGCTGTGATGCCACAGCACTCTACCCAGAGTGCCAACTTGAGACTCTGTCTCAAAAAAAAAAAAAAATATATATATATATAGTCCTGGGTGGAAGTGCAGAGATGAAGGAATGAAAAACAACTGAATGGATAAATACGAGGTTAAATTTAAGTTAATATTAACTGCATGAAACAATAACGTTTTATGGAGTTCAAAAATATGTGGAATCAAAATACATAACAATATAACAAAATACATAACAATATATGGTTTTCTGGAGGAGGGGATGAAGTTAAAATATTTCAAGATCGAAGCATTCTTGGAAATAATAAAAGTACTTATGTATATTAGACTTGAATAAGTTAAGGATGCATATTATAATCTCCAGTACAACTACTGAAAGAACAGTAGTAGAATGTATACTACCTAGTTAATGGGATATGTAACTATCAAGACAACAGAATTATTTAAAAAAATCTATCCAAAGGAAAGCAAGAAAAAAGAGAAAAGGGAACATGAACCAGATAGAAGGAAAATATTATCACATCTAACATATTTATGATGTTAGATTTAAGCCTAACTATAGCAATAACTGCATTAAAGTGAAATGGTACAAAATATTATGTGACTACCCATAATAATTTAAAAAATTAAATAAAATAAATAAAATGGAATAAATGCTTTAATTAAAAAACAAAGCCCAGAATGCTCAAAAACAAAACACTTAAGAGAAATTTGTAAAATATAAAGATTCCAAAAGGATGTCTTAAAAAAAAAAAAAACCTTAATAAAACACTTACTAAAAGGTATCAATTCAACAGGGAGATATCTACATTCTAAAGCTTTTTATACTGAATAATATAGCCTCAAATTTTATAAAGCAAAAATTATCATATTTTAAGGAAAGATAAATAAGCTTCCAATCATACTTAAAGATTTTAACAAACCTTTTCCAAATAGTGATAGAAGCAAAGACAAAGAAAATTTAAATAAAATGATAATGTACTTGACCTAATTAACAAATATAGAAGCAACCACACATTCTTTTTAAGTACATACAACATATTTTCAAAAATTCACCAGATACTCCACTATGAATCATTGAAATCAGGCTCGGCACCTGTAGCTCAAGTGGCTAAGGTGCCATTCACATACACCAGGGCTCGTTGGTTCGAATCCAGTCCAGGCCTGCCAAACAACAATGACAACCGCAACCAAAAAATAGCGAAGCGTTGTGGTGGGTACCTGTAGTCCCAGCTTGGGAAGCTGAGGTACGAATATTGCTTACGCCTGAGGGTTTGAGGTTGCTGTGAGCTGTGATGCCACAGCACCCTACCAAGGGTGACGTAGCAAGTCTCAAAAAAAAAAAAAAAAGAAGAAGTGGGGTTCTAAAAGATTTTTCTCTCTGCGCTGGATCTTAGCCAAAAGGCCAAGAAACACTGAGATTTTTTTCTCTGTTGTTGAACTTCATTTGACCTAGAATTGTTATTGTTTCATTTTTTTTCTTGTCTTTTTTTTGAGACAGAGCGTCAAGCTGTCGCCTGGGTAGAGTGCTATGGCATCACAGCTCATAGCAACCCCCCAACTCCTGGGCTTAAGCGATTCTCTTGCCTCAGCCTCCCAAGTAGCTGGGATCACAGGCATCCACCACAATGCCTGCCTATTTTTTTTTGGTTGTAATTGTCATTGTTGTTTGGCAGGCCTGGGCTGGATTCAAACCCACCAGCTCTGATGTATGTGGCTGGTGCCTTAGCCACTTGAGCTACAGGTGCCAAGGCTCTTGTCTTTTTTTTTAAGGGATAAGTTCTCAAGTTCTTGCTCTATCACCCAGGCTGGGGTGCAGTGGCGCAATCACAGCTCATTCTAATCTCCAGTTCCTAGGCTCAAGTGATCCTCCTTCTTTAGCCTTCTGAGTAGCTGGGACTACAGGCATACCTGAAAATACTGGACTAATGTTTTTAAAAAATTTTCCCAGGAAGGTCTTGAATTCCTAGCCTCAAGGAATCCTTCCCTCTTGGGTTCCCAAAGCACTGAGATTAAAGCCTTGAGCTACTGCGCCTGGTGTCATTTTTAACAATAGAATTTTTCTTGGGCTGTTTGCCCAGTCCACTGTATCCTCGCGTGACCCCAGTGCTTACAGTGTTTTTCAGTTCTTTCTTGTGAGAATATCCTTTTGTTGTTTTTGTCGAAGATATAAATGAAGTGTGCATGAGCATAGACTATTGAATCCACGTCTGTGCCATGTCTGTAAATACAATCATTTGTACAACTTT